AAAAAAAAAAAAAAAAAAAGAGAGAGAAAAGAAAGAAAGCGTAAGGAGACTGGAAAAGGGCAACTGGCAGGCGCTTCCACCAACCTGGAAACCGCCGTGTGCCTACTATGTGCTGAATTACAAGCGCAGAAAGCAAAGGAAATGGAAACGCGGCGCGCGGCGTGCAAGCCCGGAACCCCAGCCCCGGAGGCAGGAGGATCCCCCAACTTGAGTAATTTAGCGACTTAGCAAGATGCTGTCTCAAAACCACAAACACCACCACCCACAACCACCCCCCGAGAAAAAACCCCACAAAGCCTGCTCGGGTCCTCTGGCAGGGTGCTAGGCCTGGCTGGGTGTGGGATTCTTGGAAAGGCGGGCCGGGAGGAAAGTTACTTTTCGCCATTTAGGGATTCACGTGTCCCAAGGAGCGGAGAGTCCAGGGCAAGAGAGTCGCCCGTGGCTCCCCATCGCGGCGCCCGGCGGAGGGGGCTGGGGATGGCCCCTGGAGGCCTCCGGGCTGGGTCGAGGCCCTGTCCCCGCCTCTGGGCGCTGACTCCGCGCGCTCCGCTATTCCGCGCTACTGCGCTGGACGCGCCCAGGACATGCCCAGCCCGTCCAGGTCATGCCCAGCCCGCCCAGGTGACCTCGTCCCCGCTCCCGCCCGCTCCCCCCCGGACCGGGACCACGCGAGGACTTACGAGGAGCAGGCAGGCCAACATAAGGACCCTGCTGACCCGGAGCCCGAGAGCTCGGCTGAGCTCTGCCCTTGCGTCCCGTGCCGGCTGCGCCAGGGCGGAAGGCGCGGTGCTCCGCTGCTTTCTCGAGGTCTGGAGGTAGAACATCGACGCCCTTCAGCTGCGCTGAACAAGTCTGGGCGCTAACACAGCCCGTTCGCTCCTTTATGAGACAGCTGTCTGGTTCGTAAGCCTTCTCCAAGATTCCCATTGGCAGTGACTGGCACCCCGCCCACTCGTCCAGGGTGGGTTTTTTTTTTTTTTGTACCGGGGCGGGAACTCTGGACCTTGCGCTTGCGAGGCAGGCGGAGGAACCACTGAGCTAAATCCCAGACACTCTTTTCCTCACAGTTCAGCAAGGGCTGTTGAAAATTTAACTGTGATTGCAGATATTGCTGGATCTCTCACTAATTCTGTCAGTTTTTGTTTCGAATTTTGAAAGCTCTGTTGTTAAGGTCACACTAGTTGTTATGTCACTCTGATGAATTCATTTTTGTCATTATACTCGATGTGATCAAAGCAACGTGAAAATTTAATTTTTTTTTTTTTTTTTTTTTTTTAGGGAGACTGCTCGTTTATTGTGTGGCTTGGCTGGAGCCCTCTAGAAGGTAGGTTTGGTCTCAAACCTGCATGAGGGGAACACGGAGGGCCGTGGTGATCATGAGATGTAGTTGGACACCTCAGTCAAGTTTCTCTCTGGGTCTCGGAAGTAGATGGACATGATCGGTCTTTTTGCTCCTGTCCTGGGGACTGGGCCCTCCTCAGTGGGGACATCAAAAGTCTTGAGACCCTGGACCATCTCCTTTGGAGGCGCCTCTGTGATCAGACAGATGTCCAGGGAGCCGGGCAGGGTGTGGATGGCTTTGGGCTCAAATTCCTTCCCCATCGCATGCATGTTTAAATTTCTGGTCTCTGGAATATAGTGCTTTCTGGTCTCCCTTGAGAGTTGTGACTTCCATCCCCAGGACCGTGGAGTAGAACGTGGTGGTGCCTTTGATGCTCTTTACTGTCGTCATTATGTGGTCGAGTCTCGGCATAAGACACGGGGAAGGGGTCTGACTGCTGTTTCTCCATGACTGAGTCCTCGCAGCTCCGCTCCACACCCTGGCAGGCAGCCGGCATGGCATGGCAGGGCGAGTGGCAGTGATGGAACTCCAGGTCAACTCCATGAACATTTAAATTTAAAAATTCTATCAGTAAAAAACACATTGCTGTTACTGCTCAAAATACTCCCCTTCACTTCTCTGAAGAATGTCTTTGTTCTGTTTAAAGTTACAGTCAATGGTGCTTGCAAAAGTATGCCCCAGTTGCTCTAGGCCCACTTATAAATCTAACTTTCCTGCTTGTAATCCCATAAATTGATTTTAACTTGGCTGAGATATAGTCATTTTTGTGTATAAAAACCTCTAAAAAAAAAAGAGTTCCTTTGGCAATCCAACCTGGTCCTGTGTTGGTTGTTAGGCTGTGTCAACTTGAGACCTTTGGATAAGAGAAGCTTAGCTAAATGGGCTCAGCCATTTCATGCCCTAGGGTATTATAAAATTATAATATTATATATAATATATAATATATAATATATAATATATTATAATATATAATATATTATATTATATATTATAATATAATATATTATAATATATTGTATATTTCATAATTATATAATATATTATAATATAATATATTATAATATATATAATATAATATATTATATATTAAAATTATAATAATCCATGCCCTGGATATTATAAAAGGGAAACGGGGAAAGACACTGCTTCTGTTCCTTTGGAGGCTCCAGCTTCCGACTTGGATACTTCAGCCTTCGGGGCAGACCCATCAGCCTCCTGATATGGACTGGCAAGGGACACTGCAGTGAGCTCCAGGCCTTTGCCTGAATTGTTCGGTCTCCAGTGTGAAAGCAGACCTTCTGGACTCTTCCCCATCCAACCCTGTGGGTGACCATGGTAAGCCAGTCTCATAAATTCATATATACTTCTATAGCTTGTGTTGTATGCTTCTCTAGCAAACACTGACTGATACAGGTCCCCTCTCAGTATTGGGAGCTGTTTGCTTTCACTTAACAATAAATGCTGCTTTCTGCTTTCAAACCTCTACAATAAGTACTTTCACTCAGTCCTCTTTTAACTTTCTGCTTTGTAATTCTCTCTGGGCTGAGAGAAAAACCCACCAGTTGGATGGTAACACAGAGATTCTCCAAGTCAGGGAAAAAAAATAAGCCCATGTTATAAACTGTCTGTAACATTTGTGCTTTGACGTTCCAGATGGATGAAAAGTAAAAGATGGGTAGATACACCATAAAGCCATTACGTATAAAAAAGGTGATGTGGCTTGCTTAATGTGCATTCAAGACAGGGCATATTAGCAGGCCAAAGAGGAATGTACAAGATCTGATAAAAATAAATACTGTGTGTTTAAATTTTAAAACTTTTATTACAATAAAGACATATTGCCATTAACCTCCCACAAAGTACACCCTGTCCTTTCCGTGAAACTTCTTCAATGTTGATTCAAGAAAATTTCGCCAATCCCATGAGGCCTTTCTCTGTTGTGCTCCAGTGCCCTGATGGACCCTCCTTTGTCAGAGAAATAGACACACTCTCCTCCCCTCTGACCCAGAGTCATCTGGGAAATCCTCTCTCTACTTGTCTGCCCACAGGGTCCTGCTTGTCTTCAACAAATACACAAATGGATGGTTTAGATTACTGAGGGGAGCCTCTTGTTAAGTAAGGAAAATGACACCCAAACTTTAGAAAATAAGACCTAAGCCCAACCACGCCAGCGCAGGGGGCTCCCCCTTCATTCTCCCCAATTCTTTAGTTATTTATCTGTTTCACCTGGTTTTAAATTGGATTGATTGTATCAGTCATGGCCAAATTGGGGATATACAATCTGCCACTTTGTTTCTCCTTTGTTTTAAAAGGCTATTTCTACCAGATATAAGTAATGGATCGATAGGTTTCTTTTACCACTTTAAAGATGTTGCTCTCCAATATTTCGGATCAGCTGGCATTCATGTCATAGTTCCTATGAAGGCACAAAAATTATTTATGCACAGGGCTGGGGATTTAGCTCAGTGGTGCCACCGCCAGCCTCACAAGTGCAAGGTCCTGAGTTCAATCCCTGGTACCAAAAAAAAAAAAAAATTCCTTAGGCTAGAGTTGTAGCTCAGTGTTAGAGCACTTGGCTAACATTCACAAGGCCCTGAGTTTGAATCCCAGCACTAAAAAAGAAAAAAAAATCCCCCTATACTATAAGATTCTCTGAAGAGACATAAGCTTTGGATATACTAGATAAGTGTTAAAACAACTGTATTCGGTATGCTCAAAGAGCTAAAGGAAAACACAAGCAAAGAACTAAAAAAATCAGGAAGGTAATGTATGAACAGAATGAAAATATCAATTGTAGAATTTATTTAAAGAAACCAAAGAGAAATTCTGAAATATAAAAATACAATAACTGGGGCTGGAGATTTAGTTCAGTGGCACCATGTCTGCTTTGCAAGCACAAGATCCTGACTTCAATCCTTGGTACCGCAAAAGAAAAGAAAAGAAAGGAAAAGAAAAGAAAAGAAAAATACAATAACTAAATTAAAAATTCACTAGAAGTGTTCAACAGGAGATTTGATCAGGCAGGAGAAAGAATCAGTGAACTTGAAGACAGGACATTTGAAATAAATAAAGGTGAAGATTAGAAAGGAAAAAAGGAAAAAGGGCCCAATGGAACCTATATACACATTGTGGGAGTCTTCAAAGGAGAAATACGAGGAAAAAGAGGTGAAAGATTATTTGAAGAGTTACCTAAAACTTAAATTTTGAAGAAAAAACATGAATCTATAAATTCGAGATGGTCAATAAATTCCAAGAAGGATAAATCTAAAAGGTTCTACACTGAACACTTAACCTCAACTGAATCACCCCCCGAAGACTCCCCTCCTAATACCATCACATGGGGAACTAGAGCCCCAACATATGATTTTTTGGGCATACAGGTAACCATTCAATCTGTGACCCTACTGGCAAGACGCATGGCTTTACATTTTCATATGGAATATCTAAAGAAAAGAAAAGAAAACCACTGGGGCTGGGGATTTAGCTCAGTGGTTCTGCCACCTGCCTCGCAAGTGCAAGGACCCAAGTTCGATCCCCAGTACCAAAAAAAAAAAAAAAAAAAAGGAGTATCTACATAATATATTTATTTTCTCACAGTTCTGGAGTTGAGGCTAAGTCATGAGGGCAGAGCCCCCCAAATGGGAATGAGTGTGCATATAAGGACAGGAAGAGACAGCAGAGCTCCCTCTCTTTATCAAGAACACACATCAAGAACAGGGTGTGCGGGCCTCTGGCAAGAAGTGGCTGTCTAAAGCCAGGAACAGGCCTTCACTGGGAGCCGAAGCTGCTGTACCTTGATCTTGGACTCCCAGCCTCTAGAAATGAGAGAAATAAATGCCTGTTGCTTAAGCCACTCAATTTTTGGTGTTTTCACACAGTAGCCTGTGTGCTTCAGCTTTCCATTACTGTAACAAAATACTTGAGACAATCAATGTATAGGAGAAAAGGCTCACAGTTATCCATCCATGCTCAGTTGGCTCTGCTGCTTTTGTTCCTGTGGAGGAAGCAGCGCATCTCGGCAGGAGTGTATGGCAGAGGAAGCTTGTTTACTTCCTGGCCTGGAATGAAAAGAGAGTGGAACACAGAGGTTCCACAATCCCTTTCAAGAGTGCAGTCCTGGGGGCCGGGGATATAGCTCAGTGGTTTTGCTGGCTGCTGTGCAAGCGCAAGGACCTGAGTTTGATCCCCGGTACCAAAAAAAAAAAAAAAACCACAAAGAATTTTTGGGCCTGGGATTTAGCTGAGTGGTTCTGCTGGCTGCCTCGCAAGCACATGGTCCCAAGTTCGATCCCTGGTACCCCCCCCAAAAAAAAATTAGTTCAAGAGTGCAGTCCTGTAACCTGACTTCCTTCAGTAGCTCCTATAGCTTACAGGTTCTGCCATCTCCCAGGAGCACTATGAGCTGGAGATGAAGCCTTTTAACTCAGAGCCCATCAGGGAACACTTAGCCAAACCACAGTACAACCTACAATGACTAATTCAGCATGTTGCTAGCATTGCAGTGTGTACAGTTCTTTCAGCTTTCTCTCAGCAATTGGCACAACT